AGGAATAACAAGTGTAATATCCACTAAAGTAAAGCTTAAGTATATAACACCAACAGGTAAATGGTACATGTACCCTTTGGAGGTAAACCAAGTGGTACACCAAGTGGTATAAGTAACATTATTCTAATAATAAAACTCATTTCTGATCAGATTGTGCAGTTGCTAAATCTCACAAACTACCTTTCACTCAATCTGCTCATTTTTCTACTCACCCTCTAGAGCTTATTCACACAAACCTATGGGGACCAGCCCCCATAAAATCCACCTCTGGGAGTTTGTATTATGTTGCTTTTATTGATGACTACTCCAAATATACTTGGATTTATTTTTTGAAACATAAATCAAATACTCTTGCAACCGTTATTCAATTTAAAAATTTTGTTGAAAATCAATTAAACCACAAGATAAAAAAAAAGGTTCAAAGTGATGGAGGCACAGAATACAAACCCTTAATCACCTTATTCATTGATGTTGGGATACACCACAGAGTTTTTTGCCCACATCCACCTCAACAAAACAGTTTAGTAGAAAGAAAACATAGGCAAATTGTTGAAGTGGCCCTCACTTTGTTTTCTCAGTCCAATGTACCAAAAAGATATTGGTAAGAATCCTTTAGTTCAACAGTATACCTGATAAACAGAATTCCCAACAAGACAACTTTCAAATTACCATTTTCCAGCCTTTTGGCCATTCTCTAGATTACAAACATCTTAAAGTCTTTAGTTGTGCAGCCTACCCTCACCTTAGACCTTACGTGCATGCTAAGTTAGATTTAAGGTCTGAACAAGGTGTCTTTTTAGGGTTTAGTTCTCAGTACAAGGGTGATAAAGTGTTGTTGCAAAATCATAAAATTATAAACTCTAGGGATGTTGTGTTCAATGAGAGTGTGTTCCCTTATAAGATTTCTAAGCAAACTGAGCAACTTAACCAAGACACACCATAAAATTTACTAAATTTACCTCAACCTGTTGTTTATGATACTACCAATATCACAACACACAACAAAACCAATACTCGGATTCCCACAAATGATATGCAAATGAGTCCTCAACCTACTGACCACCACACACCAATACATACTTCCCCAAATAATTCTGAGCCTCATGATCAAACCACCAATCTTTCACCTCATAAAGCTTCTACCAATACCACTACTCTATCTGAAGAAACAGTCAAAAACCAACATCACATGGTTACTAGATCCAAAAGAGGAATATTTAAACCCAAGGTGTATGCCAGCTCCATCTTTGCAGTTGTGCCAACTGATGTTACAGTAGCTCTCCTTGATCCAAAATAGAAGAGAGCAATGGATGAGGAATATGAAGCCTTGATTATAAACAAAACTTGGGATGTTGTCTCGTTGTCAAAAAAAAAACCAATGTTCTAAAAGTCGCTAGGCGCCCGCTAGGCGCTCGACCAGCGCCTAGTGCTTAGAGCGCCTAGGCGGGGCCTAGAAATCAATATTAAATACCTTATTTTTTATTTTTTTAACTACTATCAAAATAAAAGTATCTCAACTTATAATAAATCGACACACCTAAGTCCAAATAATAATATTAATATATTTTAAAGAAAACATAAGAACAAAATAATGTAATTAG